CAGAAAAAGAAAGCTCATATCAAAAAGAAGGTGATGAAAGAAGAAATATGTCACTAGGAAAGAGACTGACCCTAAGAATTACTTCTTCAGCGTGTAAAAATACCAACTGATTATCTAATCAATAATCCTACTGTCATCGGGTAATAACCACCAGGCTGTATGACCACTGAAACATTCAATGGAGAAACAGGCTTTGGCAAGAAGAGAAAAAGAGGATGAAAATAAAACTACTAAGTAGAACAAAGTAGAAGATGAAATAAAGAAGTAAGGTAAGAAAGTGCAATAGGGATGGGGGGAGAATGTCCATATAATGAATTAGGTAAACAATAAATTAAGCTTAACACCTGAAATTACACCTTCAATTAAATAATCCAACTTTTTTCATTCAAAAAGCCATTATAATATAGAAATATTCTAGCTGTCACTTTAACATCAATGTCTGAACTAATGTGGAGCCGTGGTTTATTTTAATAGACACCTTCTGTACTTTATTCATGGTATAACATAATTATTAATAATGATGTTATAAACTAATAGTATGAGAATAAAAACACATTAGCTCTGCAGTGAAACTCCTACTACTCTTAGGTGGCAACAAGTATAGTATTTATCAGCCCAAATAGAACGCCATAACACATCCACAATAGTGGAGAAACCCAAATCCTGATATGTAGTAAAAGGGACACATTAGTCACCAGAACAACTATAGCTTAATGTAGTCATTCTGGTGTGCATAGCCAATTTCTGCAGGCTTCTTAATGTAAACGCTGCCTATTCCTGATCCTATATCCGATATGTAGTTAATATTTGATATGTAGTGGCTTCTGGTACCAGTGCAATGTCATTGTGTAAGGTCACCTGTCAATGTTAAAGCAAACATCTTCACCATAATGATTTCAGCTTAAAATCATTGTTTAAAAATTTGTCTTAATATTGCCAGGTGAGCCAAAACGTTAATGGCCAATGCAGTTGTATTAAAATCTGTTGTTATTTTAATGTATTTGGGATTGGACTCAGGTAACTATTGGTATTCTTGGCAATGATGGTAGATGCAAAAGGTAATCCAATGTATTCACCGATGTAAACAAGTTCCAAGTTATGAAATGACAATTGTCATACGTCTAATAAGGACTACCTTTGTGGACTTATAGCTAAGCTAACACTCTTTACATTTTATCATTTAAGAATAAGACAAATTTATAGTTGGTTGGTGCAACCTGTTTTCTTTTCTCTTTTTTACCGGTTTCATGCTCTTGAATTGTTAGGGTATCCAAGTAGCAGTGTTTGCTGCCAGTTTTGAGTCAGCGCTGTATCAATCTAACCTTTTCTTTGAACTATTGGTTTTGTTTTATCTATATATTGGAGCTGATAATACTATAACCAATGCTGTCCATCTATTTGCATCTTGTTTGGGAATTGTCCCTTGAGAAAGGCACTATTGCTGGTGCCGAAACATTGGGGGGTGTTAAAGTGCACGTCTAGTCCTTTGAAACTTTATGTAAGTTATTTTTCATTCTTTTGTTGTGCAGTTTATCATTTATAGCCTCTATCATTGATTGAGTGTAATATTTTATTTATTTTTATGGTGTGAATTTAGTTGTATAATAAAGTCAACTAAATATTCAGCACTAAGACATGCATCCTTTTGTATATAGATTTATGGTGGTTTGGTATGACAGGGCTGTCTGTTTAGGATAGCACCTGGATAAAATGTATTCTGACAATTTGACATTTGATTGTATGGTAACCAGTAGCAGGGACATTGCTTGGGACAGTCTGTATTGTTAGTGTTTCAGTGTCCCACAGAAGGCTAAACTCAAATATTTTGGAGCATTTAAACTACTTGAGAACAGCAACTCATGGCTTGCAATTTGATATTAATAATTGTATCTGTATTGTTGTCCCCCAATAAATATTAACTTTGGTAAAAGTTACCAGCAGTGATGTCATGTTAAACCCAAATTCACCCTTTTTTAAGCAAATGGAGGCTGAATGAGGTTCTCCTAAATAGGTTGTTAACGATGCCTGGAAAATTTGTATAAAATTATAGAATTATTAAATATTAGTTTATAGCAGAAAACAAAATAAAGTCAATCTTGTGTATAAACATCCCATACACGTACAAACTTCATGTCAATACCTTTGATTACCTGGGGTACACACTCATTTCACAACCTTACAAAATTAGACAGGAGAGCACACAAATATTCAATAAAAAAATTAAATCTTTATTTAACCCCTTCAGGACAGAGTCAATAGTACACGTTCTGATCAAAACAAAATGTAAACAAAAACTGGAATTTGCACTATATGTCCGTTCAACCGTAATTCACCTCTTTCATATTAAGTGCACCCACACTTATTATATATCAGTTTGTTCAGGAGAAACAGGGCTTTCATTTCATATCGAATATTTATATATGAAACATAAATTATTATGAATAAAATCCAAAAAACTGAGAATTTTATTTATTTTTTTAAATTTGTATTTCCGCCTCACATTTTAGCTGTAAATGTCATAATACTGTTAGCTTTTACTGCAAAACAAGTACATATTTGGATTCAGCAAAGTCTCACGAGTACAACAGTTGCCCCCGTTAACAGTTTGTATGGTTTTTTGGAAAGTTAGAGAGTCAAATATAAGGCTTGCATTTCATTTTTTTCACATTGAAATTTGTGAATAAGCCCAGGAATAAGAATTACCCCCATGATGGCATACCATTTGCAAAAGTAGACCACCCAAGGTATTGCAAGTGGGGTATGTCCAGTCTTTTGTAGTAGCCACTTAGTCACAAACACTGGTTGTCTACTTTTGCAAATGGTATGCCATCATGGGGGTAATTCTTATTCCTGGGCTACCATATGGTCTCAAAAATGCAACATAACCAATCTGGCAAATTTCAATGTGAAAAAAATGAAATGCAAGCCTTATATTTGACTCTCTAACTTTCCAAAACACCATACAAACTGTACATGGGGGGTACTGTTATACTGGGGAGACTTCATTGAACACAAAAATAAGTGTTTTAAAACAGTAAAACATATTACAACAATAATATCATCAGTAAAAGTGCCGTTCGTGTGTGAGAAATGCAAAAAACTTCACTTTTACTAAAAATATCATTGTGTAATACAAGTTACCATTTTAAAACACTAATATTTGTGTTCAGCGAAGTCTCCCGAGTAAAACAGTAACTCCCATGTACAGGTTTTATGGTGTCTTGGAAAGTAACGATGTTAAATATAGTGCTTACTATTCAAATTCTCTGCACTTTCTGCCTGGGTTGTCAGGCATGTCAATCAAATTTGAATTAATTAAATCACATAATTATGTTAAAATATTACTTAAATATACACATAGAATTTTAATATATATAAATATATATGTATTTAAAGTCTATGTGTACATTTATGTAGTTATTTATGTAATTATATATATTTATCTGTATATATACATTTGCGGTTATTTATATTATATATAGATAGATATAGAATGTCATTCTAAGTGTATTTTGTTACCAATATATATATATATATATATATATATACATTAATAAAAAAATACAGTTAGAATGAAATTACATATGTATATATAATTTATTTAAATTTTTTTAAAAAATATTTTATTTATTTTATTATATTTATTTAAAATTGTAATTATATATGTATATATAATATATATATATTACATATATATATATCTTATATATATGTAACGTCATTCTAAGTGTATTTTAATACTCATATATGTACTTAAATTAACATTAAAATACACTATGTATAACGTTACATATATATGATGTGTATATATATTTTTTTTACTCTTTCCATCAGCAAAGGGACTGTCTGATAGCTCAGACAGTCCCCCTGCTGGCGGATTCACAGCCAGCTATAGGGGGCCATGTGATCGCTCTTTGAGAGCGATCACATGGCCCCCGGGGGCCTGATTTGCCGGGCAAGGGCTGCCTGGGCTGTCAGGCAGTTCTCCCGAAGAGGATCGCGGCGGAGGTAAGTATATTTTACCTCCTGGGGCAGAAAGACGTTACGGCCGCAACGGCTTTAACCCCTTAAGGACACATGACATGTGTGACATGTCATGATTCCCTTTTATTCCATAAGTTTGGTCCTTAAGGGGTTAAAGCCCATTTAAATGGGGATGGCATAGAACGCTGTAACGGCATTAAGACAACACTATTAATATATATATATCTCACACACAGAGAAAGGGTTAAATAACTGCTTATTAGACAGCAGCAAAATTAAAATACATATTGCAGACATTACGTTGGTATGTGGTAACCATATATCACGGCAAGAAAAAAACGAAATAAAGCCTGATCTGTTTGATCAAAGGCATACCAAACCTGTGACATATGTCAGCAAGAGCAGGGCACAAAATAGAAACCCCCAGCGATATAGTAAAATGTCTTTCTCGAGAAGCTGAGTAAGGTCAAGAATATGTATCGCTTTATGTGTCACTAAAGATATACAACAATTTTATTATGTATTGGGAAATAAGCTTTAATTATTAATTTTTTAAGATGAAAAAATAAAACATGTTTAATGTTATTTAAAAACGCACATCTCCCTCCCTCTTTCTCATAGCCTGTTAAGAATTTAAATACAGTGGTTGTGCTTGATTGCTCTCAGCCCATTGCCCCCTGCTTTAACCTTGTCTCCATGCATTCCACCTGCTCCTTCATTGGTGTTTGACTTTAGCAGCTGCCCAGCACCGATCAATGAATTGCTTGGGGGGGAGGAGGGGGGTATGCTGGCATTATAACTACTACAACGGGCTGTGATAGTTATGGTACTTAGATTGCTCCTGTAAATCTCAATAATAAACACACAAACTAAGCAGAGATCCGAGCAGTTAACCCCTTAAGGACAAAGGCAATTGTTCAAGTTCTGATCAAAACAGAATTTAGCCCAGTAATTCCTAGTAATGTTGCCTTTGAAACCGTATTGTAGCCCAGGAATGAGAATAACCCCCATGATGGCATACCATTTGCAAAAGTAGAGAACACAGGGTATTCAATATGGGGTATGTCCAGTCTTTTTTAATAACCACTTATTCACAAACCCTGGCCAAAGTTAGCGTTCATATTTGTTTTTGTGTGAAAAATGCCAAAAAACAAATATGAACGCTAAATTCTGTCAGTGTTTCTGACTAAGTGGCTACTAAAAAAGACTGGACATACCCCACTTGCAATACCTTGGGTTGTCTACTCTTGCAAATGGAATGCCATCATGGAGGTAATTCTCATTATTGGGCTTCTCAAAGGCAACATTACCAATCTGGCAAATTGCAATGTGAAAAAACTGAAATGTAAGCCTTATATTTGACTATCTAACTTTTCAAAACACCATAAAACCTGAACATGGGGGGTACTGTTATACTGAATAGACTTTACTGAACACAAATATTAGTGTTTCAAAACATTAAAACGTATTACAACAATAATATTGTCAGTAAAAAAAAAAAATTAACTTTCACTGACAATATTATCTTTGCAAGACAATTTACCATTTTGAAACACTCATATTTGTGTTCAGCGAAGTCTCTCGAGTCAAACAGTACCCACCATGTACAGGTTTTATAGTGTCTTGGAAAGTAACAGGGTCAAATATAGTGCTTGCAAATTAAATTCTCTGGACTTTCTGCCTGGGTTGTCAGGCACGTCCCTCAAATTTTAAATAATAAAATCACATAATTATGTTAAAAGATTACATAAATATACATGTAGATTTTTATACATTTACTCGAGCCGACCCAAATATAAGCTGAGGCACCTAATTTTACCACAAAAAAACTGGGGAAAGGGTGGTAAAATTTACCAGCAGCTACTGGTTAATTTCAAAATAAAAATAGATACCAATAAAATTACATTAATTGAGGCATCAGTAGTTTAATGTTTTTGAATATTTATTTACAGTGTGTGTATATAATGAGTGCAGTGTGTGTATATAATGAATGCAGAGTGTTTGTGTAGTGTGTGTATATAATGAATGCAGAGTGTGTGTGTTTGTGTAGTGTATATAATGAATGCAGAGTGTGTGCGTGTGTGTAGATAATGAATGCAGAGTGTGTATATCATGCAAAGTGTGTGTGTATATAATGAATGCAGTGTGTGTGTATATATAATGCAGAGTGTGTGTTTATAATGCAGAATGTGTGTTTGTTTGAATGCAGTGTGTGTGTATATACGGCAGAATGCGTGTTTGTTTGAATGCAGTATGTGTGTGTATATAATGCAAAATGTGTGTTTGTTTTGAATACAGTGTGTGTATATAGTGCAGAGTGTGTGTTTGATTTGAATGCAGTGTGTGTATATAATGCAGAGTGTGTTTTTGTTTTGAATGCCGTGTGTGTTTGTGTAGTGTGTGTAAACTGGGTGGGAGAGGGCAATTTTATTATGTTAATATTTTTATTTATTATTTAAATAATTAATTTTGTAATTTTTTTTTTAGTTCCCCCCCCCTGCTTCATACTTGGCCAGGGAGGGGGATATGTCAATCCCTGGTGGTCCGGTGGCATGTACTGAGCAGTGGGGGGGCGAGGGGGCAGCAGAAGCTCTTACTTACCTTCCCAGTAGCTCCCTTCAGCTTCCCTCCCACCCCCCCCCAGGACCGCATTGTTTTGAGGACTGGCACCTGGCCATACTATATTTGGCCTGAGTGCAAGGTATTATGTATGTATTAATATAAAAATATAGCTAATAATTAAGTTCTTGAAGTATTGAAGAGTGTCAAATTGACGTTTCAATTCAAAACATGAATGTTCCTCAGGACAAACACAAATGCCATAATATAAATATATATATATATACACACACAGTTAATTACTTTAATGTGTGGAATAATTATTTTTTCCCCCTATTTCCACCATTAGGGGGACTGCCTGACAGCCCAGGCAGGCAGCACTGTGGCAGCTCTTTGAGAGCGATCACATGGCCCCCAGGAGCCAGATTCGCCTTGGGAGGACTGCCTGGGCTCAAAGCCATTACATTCTATGCCGCTGCAAAGGCTTTAAAGCTCATTAAATGCGGGACGGCATAGAACGCCATACTGGCATTAAGGGGTTAAACACTCATCCTTCCTATATGTGTACAATAACTGCCATCATAGAGGAAAAGAAGAAGAAGCTTTGTGTCATCTGATGACTAACTTGGCATGAATATCTAAATATGTAAACAAACTGACAGCTTATTAATAATGATTTGCAGAAAAGTAATGAAGGTCCAGGAACTCAAGTTAAATCCAGTGAGCAGATTTACTGAAGAAGATGCAAAGCAACGTTTCTGCTCACAACAGGGCCTTTGTCAAGCTTATTAATAATGGACACGAGAGACCTAACATGAGCAATAAACATATAACACTGAGGTGCCCTGAGACAATATATTATTAACATGGCTAGCTATACTGCAAAAGAAAAAAAATCTAAATGGGATTCTCTAAATAACAGCAATGCCAAAACAGCTACTGGATCTGATAATACTTTAGCCAGATTGACTCATTAATGAAGAATACAACTAATTACAATGTAACCATCATGGTTTTAAAAAGGAAAGAGCTATATTACAGTACAGACCAATGGGGAAGGAGATTGGTTGCCACGGCAACACGGAATCCCTGCACAACTGACCAACTGCCGTTTTCTTTATAACTCATAAGAGATGGAGAATCTGCTAAGTGACTCAGAGGTAGTTTACTGTTCATTAAGGTGTTTCTGTCATCAAAAAAGGAATATGACCACACCAGAAAAAGAAAGCTCATATCAAAAAGAAGGTGATGAAAGAAGAAATAGGTCACTAGGAAAGAGACTGACCCTAAGAATTACTTCTTCAGCGTGTAAAAATACCAACTGATTATCTAATCAATAATCCTACTGTCATCGGGAAATAACCACCAGGCTGTATGACCACTGAAACATTCAATGGAGAAACAGGCTTTGGCAAGAAGAGAAAAAGAGGATGAAAATAAAACTACTAAGTAGAACAAAGTAGAAGATGAAATAAAGAAGTAAGGTAAGAAAGTGCAATAGGGATGGGGGGAGAATGTCCATATAATAAATTAGGTAAACTCTAAATTGAGCTTAACACCTAAAATTACACCTTAAATTAAATAACTTTTTTTTTTCATTAAAAAGGCCATTATAATATAGAAATATTCCAGCTGTCACTTTAGCATCAATGTGGAGCCATGGTTTATTTTATTTTTTTTAAATTCTTTATTTTTGTAGTGCATAAGAAAAATACAGTCGCTTGTGCGGTACCCCAAAGGCAATCCTCCAGCGCATTATAAAACATTTAAACATAGAGGGATATGGTTGACCTTGCACATTTTTATAAGATTGAGTTATGCATTACACGGCTTCGATTGTTCTGACTTAGGCATATTCATATAACAAAATAAACTAAAATAACGTCGCTTATCTTTCTGATCATGAAATAAAATAAAATTAAGACGCAGTGTCAAGTGTAACGGTAGCTATACCAGCAAACTAGTGTAGTTGATTCAGTTTTGTGAGTCGCTTAATAGAATTGTGTTTTTAACAAGCAGGGTTAAGATGCTATGGAGCGAGTGTTGCCTTTCCAGTGTAAATGATCGTGCAAGAGCGGGATTACCTAACGCTAACTAGGTTGTAAGGCAGAGCACTGCCCTATTTTAGGGTTTATCAAAAACAAGATGAATAGCAGGTCATGCATACATTAGCCTACACTAGGCATAGCTATGTGAAGAGAACGCGGATTCAGATTTAAACATAGTGTTTCATGTTATAGTGCAGGGGTAGGCAACCTTTTAGCAGCACTGTGCCGATATAGGATTGTGATGTCCCGTAGCGTGCCGGTCCTATTTTTTTAAATATTGGTGTGTGTATTCTGCCGTATTCTGCTTGTGTTATCTTTACTGCAGTTGCTTTGCATCATTGTATTTGTGCGTATATAAGCTATTATAATCTATATGTTCAGGAGCAGTTTGTGGTATTGTGTATGATACATATGAATGTGGGCTGTGTATGAGGGCTGCTTGTGGAATTGTGTGGATGGATATGTCACATTGTGTGTTTGGGGTATTGCATGTGAGAGGCTGCATGTAGGGTTGTGTGCATGTATGTGGATTGTTAGCGGGTTACGTTTGTGCAGATTGTGTGTATGTTTGTTTGTGGGCAGTTCGTATTATTTGTATAAGGGGAGGGTTATTCTTCATTTCTGTCTTATGAATGTAAATTAGTGATAGTAAAAATGTCTATTTACTGTGTATACCTGTATTCAATATCTACTCAAAATGGCTGCTAGAGCACCCCCTCCCACCGACTAACTACCTCATGTTACAAGAAAGCGTCTACATCCGGAGTAAAATCCCGGGATGATGGTGACATCACGCCTCGTAGGATGTGCATTAGATAAGACACTTAACACCTAACCAATTAAAGATGTAATCTCTCTGTTATCTACATTTTTGCATATGATGTTTTTTTGCCTTTATGACGTGCTTGCCGCCCCGTGACTAAACATTCAAACGTTTTTCATTAACCTGATACCTGTGTCTGTGTAATTTACTTCAGAGCGTGCACACATTTATTTTAACAATTTGGAAAGTTGCAGATACTCACTTGGTTTGATCCACAATATCTGTGTGTATCTAGCAGTATGGTTGGCTTCCCTGGGTTCCAGTGGGGACCAGGCTGGCCTGGTACAGGTCAAAGACAGGAGCTGCAACAGCAGCTGCAGGCTGCTCTATTACGTTGTGGATTCCCATTCACAAGTGCTTGGAGGAAGTGATTTGAGATCATTTCCTCTATGTGCTGCAATGCTTAAATTGAGGATTGTCTTTCACCATCTTTTCGTATTAGCAGATATTTGAAGTTTTACTGGGACTCCTGATAGGCCAGAGCCTGTTTGGCTCTAGCAGTCTTGAGTGCCGTGCAAAGACACCTCGAGTGCCGTGCATGGCACTAGTGCAGTAGGTTGCCTACCCCTGTTATAGTGTATGCTAGACAAATTATGAGGTTAACGTTCATATATATGAGCAGTTTTAGTTAGATCAACGTTTGCTGGGTATGCTAAGCAGGATAACCGTGTTTCATCTATATGTGTGCAGGCTGAGACAGCGTGTTGCATGTATGGTCATAACGAAGTGTGGTACAATGCTAACATTCAAACATATTTACGAGTCGTTGCGTAAGAGTAAACAGCTTTAAACCAAGAAAGATAAAGTCCTGGGGCCTCCCAAACACTCCGG